TAAACTCACATTACAGTCAACAAATATTTCTTTACCTGGAGGAACTAACCAATTTACACTGTAAGGATGTGGGTAGAAGGAAAGCAACTGCAGTTAAGTTGCTTTGGCCAGAGGTAACTATATTTCTAATACAAATATCTCAACTTATTGGACTCGCATAGGCGGGTACTAAGCAGTTGGGTTGTCATTCTGTCCACACAGTTTAATTGATTTGTAAAAAAATTATCTTTTTGTTTGAGCAGCCTAGAGCTCTATTTCTTCTTCTAGCAACAAATAAAGTTGCTTTCTTTCATCTAGTTATGCTCTTGTAGCATCCCGTGGCACCAAAAGCTGTGAACTGCCAAACCACTGAGGGGATCTCTCTCCAGGTGAGAACTCGTGTTTCACTCTACAGGGCCGAGACTTGCTTCAGAGGTAGAAAATCCCATCTAACGAAAAACAAAAAGAACAATTTTGTCCTAACTTCGTTGTTTGTGAGTTACAGTTGCTCAAAGTTTGTGATTTAGCCTCTTTGAGAATTTTTCAGGCAGCACCACGGAAAGCAGGAGCAACCAAACTCTCTCAGTCTCTTTTAAATATCTATAAAAATTTTCTGTGCCAACTCTTTCTTGGAATAGAGCTTCAGATGCTAAAATAAATTTCAGCTTTTCTTTCTCCTACCCATGTGCCATGATCATAGATAATAGAGTAAATGAAAGGGATTGGAAACGGAAGCGTGGGCGTAGCCCAACCTCCATTCATTTGTATTGCTGCTAGGCTGACAGAGGCTCGTTGAAATTTTTTGTCACAATTTACCCTTGATTTCCTTTCTTTTAGGAGCAACATCTCGCAAACAAGTGTTCCTATGCAAGTGAAATTAATGCATCAAGAAGCCTAATGTTTCCTTTTTATAATTCTGTTTTCTATTGTACAGATAATTTTACCATGTTAATGTTACAGCACTTTTAAAACCATAAAATGTATTTTTTGTCATTATAATCCCTTTTTTGAAAACAAGCTAGAGTAAAATGCAATATCTTTATAATCATATGAAAGAGCTTTCATTTGCATATGGAATGATACTAGTTAGGGTTAGAATCCTTGAAGCATGAGTTTGTTACAACAGAAAAAGGGCGAAAAGTGAAAAAATTTTGTTGTACCTATAACTCGTTGCAAAATAGCGTTGTAGAAGTAAAAACCTTGCTGCAGGTAGTCTAACACTTTCTATATGGAACGGTAGGTATATCATAAGTAAGCGTCCTCTTGGATCTCCATAAATATCCTTCGAAGTCCTTGCAGTACAGCCTCACTAATGGAGGAGATGGGAAATCAACCAGGTTTTGGGCCGGTAACCAATAGCAACATCAACCAGCCTACGCCCCCGTTTCCAATCCCTTTCATTTACTCTATTATCTATGGGTGGAGCATGGCTTGATTGAGCCACACCTTCATTGCAGCCACACCTTTCATTGCTGCAGTATGCAGTGCAGCAAGCATGCTGGAGCTTCTTCTCTGTCTAAAAAACAAGAAATTCTCTGTCTCAAAGCATTCACTAAGTTTTTACATGCTGAAGCTTCTTTTTTGTCTCAAAACTTTCACTAATTTTTTTCTCTTAATTCAGTAATATTGTTACACACAGATTGTGGCGAGGGTATGCACTTTAGTGCTCTTGTTCATTCATTCTGTACAACTGAAATTTGTTTTTAATAAACAATAACTTTAGCACAGCGTGTTTTAAGCTCCAATATCTTTCTTTTTGACGTGGAAAAGTCTTTCTTAACTGTTTTGTGTTGCTCAAATACAAGTGCTAGGTACAGAAGCTTCAAAGTAAGAAAATCGAGTAGTTGGGCCAAGTTCCGTTGTGTTGGCACTTTAGAGACAGCTGGTAGCATTTTTCTGTAGATTAGAACATGGCCTTCAAATAATATGAACAGATTTCTCTAAATCTTACTTGATGAAGAGTTATACTTACTTGAAATTGTTGAGGTCACTCGTTTGTGAAGCGCTAGAGCAACAACTTGCTGGGTTATAGGTACTAAAGTACCAATACTATCTCAAATATACAAAGGCAGCAACTTTTTTTGTCAGCAAGTTTATCCTATATAGCTGATTAGCAGTGGCGTATCTAGACTTTTGAAGATGGTGGGGCAAAGATGACGCGCGAAGCGCGCCGAAAAAAATTTTGGGGGTTAATTAATATTCATAATGGGCGTGTACTTAATTAAAGTAGTCTACGCCCACAATAATGATGATGAAGTCGACTATATCGGACTAGCTCGGCTTGCTCTTTTCTTCTCTAAAGTTCTCTTTTGAGTGTTTTCTTTATTTATTGTGTTCTCTGGCCTTAATCAAGATTGGAGATATCTTAAATTTTTAACTACAGTAAATTAGAAGGCAATATTAATTTTGATTCAGTAGCAGTTGGTAGGGCAAATGCCCTACCATGCCCTACCTTGGATACGCCACTGCTGATTAGTAAAGAAAAAGTGAAGCTTCTTTCTCACATGGTCTTCTTGCTGCCAATCATTCCAGTATGATGGAATGCCACACCTTTCAATCTACATGCATGGGAGGGGCTGGAGCTGCTTGCATAGCGCATGTATGTGCTGCAGTGATGCTACTTCTGCAGGTATTCAAGAGCAAGTGCAACTGCAGGAAGCTAGTGTTGAGCAGACTCTCTTCATGCTGATAATCAAACAGTTATTGCAGTGTGAGCATGCACCATAGCAGCTATAGGGGCGAGGCCATGCACCGTAGGTGTCTCGTCAACTTAGGCCATACCAATGAGATTCCTTGTTTCTCATTACCCTTCTGCATTGCCGGCTCTAATTATATTAATATTGTTGATATGCCATAGACTTTGAGGGCATGTGTTAGTGTGCGCATATTATTTCACAATTTTCACCTGGTTTCTTGCCTTCTTGAGACTTGGGAGTCCCTGTTTGTAGAGTTAGTCTATGTAGACTATGTAGAGTGTTTTGACCAAATAGTGCCAAAAATAGTGCAAATCAGTAAGTCGAGTTGTTACTGTAATTTTACTGCTTAATTTTTTTCAGCATACACTCAGTAAACTCATTTCAGTCAATCTTCTCTTCAGTAAGTTCTCAATGTTTAGGCAATTCTTTGGGATATTCCTTAATTATATACAATGTTTTCAAGTCTATTGTGGTTAGTGATTTAATTTTACATCTGCAGAAATGCTTAATTAATATATAGCAAATCAAAAACGAGTCAGCATACGTCTTGTGGTTGCTGTGTAGCTTAACCCTGAGTAGTGGGTCGTCAGGGCCGTCCAGGTCACCAATATAGCAAATGAAAAATGAGATGCTATGAGAATAAAGCTGGCTGGCATAAGGCAGGCAGGATTGCTGCGCTAGAGAGAGAGCTAACGATGCCTCGTGTTGACACCCAAACACTGATTATAATAATTACACAGCATGCATTATATACAAAGATAGTTCATGAATATTTATGAGTTCTGATGTGATGTCATGATGAGTCAGCTCACTACAAATATTTCATTCTTTCTCCATCCTCTCTTCTCCCCCTCTCTTTCTCAGTATATGCACATATTAAATTGTTATGATTCTCTCTCTCTGAGCATGTTATACAAGTACATGTCAATACATAAATATTCATTAAGTGCCAAACCAAAACCCCAACTTAATAAGTAATAGCAGCTAATAAATAATAATTATAAGCACATGGTCTAAATCTCCAAGCACATGGTCTTTAAAGTTTTATAGTACCAGGAGAAAAGAAACCAAGTATATAGTGGTAAGCCAGTTTTGTTAGATAATAATCATAGGCCCTGTATATTTAGTATCAGCACACATGTACATGTAGTTGATTACACCTATGCTTGGGAAGGGTAATAACATTAATTTGATGTCACTTGTTATAAATACACACAAATCTATTATTATTTAAAAAATTTGTTTTCAAACTAGTCACATGTTAACTGCTCCTCCTCGTCCTATTTGTTCATAAGCAGGATTATTATTGATCATTAGAGTGTTGAATTCATATGCTTCATTACGTGCAGTAGGTACCTCTTGTTGTTGTAATGAAGCAGATTCTGTATTATTAATAACACAATATTTGGTATTTGTTAATACTTACTGCATAACTTCCATTTGTGCATTATAGCAAGCACAATAAAGCATATTAGTAATGATATAATAATAAAACTCAATGATACTGCTGTGATTACTAAATTAATACACATATAAATATATGTTATATGTTATACTAACCAGTACTATTGTTAAGACTAGTAGGCATTGCAGTAAATGATTGTGTAGCAGTAGTAGTAGCATTAGTGATAGGAGAAGGAGGGTATGTATCTGTTAATGTAATAGAATGTAGTATAAACACATACATGCTTACCAAATGCTAATATAAATGGTTCACTACAACCAGCCCCATTAGTTAATACAATACTGATATTACACTGTTGATATTGAGGCACTGATATCAATCCTGTTATATCAATATGTGTTATTATTTGATTAGTTGTAATGCTATCAATTTCATTACACATTACAGTAATTGTAACATGTTCAGGAGCTTCACCAACACATTCCAATATTATCTATAAATTAATAATAATGATAAAATTATTATTTACATACTGGAATATAGAACTGGACAATAACCAAATTTTGTGTATAAGATAGTACATTAAGTGATGTGTTCGCCACAGCTCTAGGTACTTTAACAGTCTATATAATAGACATAATGAGTTAAGTATATATGTACCTCTTTGATATGAGAATGTATTGTTATTAGATATTCCTTCTCCTAATCCATTAACTCCTGTTATGACATATGTATAGCGATTAATAAATAAATTATCATCCACAAACTGATAACTGGTATCATATACTGATACAGTGTCCACTAGACTGCCAGAAATAGTATCATATATTCTTAGTATGTAATACTGTATAGGTAATCTATTATCAACTGTAGGAGTAGTCCATGTTATACTAATAGTAGAACAGTTGTTAATTGAAGAGGCAATGCTAGTAACTGGTCCAAGAAAACCTAATATAAGTTAATATTTTTAAATGTTATGTTTATGCTTACTAAATCCAAAAGATGGCATGTTATTAAATGTTCCTCCATTATTGCTTAATGATACATTAACAATAAACATATTTAAATTAGTTACCAAAGTACTTCCAGTTATCAGCTCATGATCATTGACTTGTGGTATTATACTGGTATTGCTTATTACTGCATTATTGGTATTCAGTATATTAACTGTTATATTATTAGGATACTCAGCTTTACATAATGCGCTGACCTAATATTGTGGGAATAAAGTAAGCTGATGTTATCAAAAGATTAAAGAGAGTATTCATGCTGTTATGTAAACTATAGTTGTATTCATGCTGCTTGCTTACTTACATTAATACTAATGTTCAATAGCATTTTTTGTCCATCAATTACTGGCACCACCACTGATATAGGAGGAGTGATAAAAGGAACTGAAAGATACACTATGAACATGAAGCCATAGTAATGCTAACCTGTTTCATAATAGAAACTGATATTGTTAGACAAACCTATTCCAACATCATTAATAGGGGAAACCGATACATTATTTATGATACAAGGATCAGGATTAGTAGCAGATAATGTAATATTAGTATTATTAGTAGTAGTAATGTTCATTAATCCATTGACTACATAGTATCCAGTGATGTGTACATTATCCAGTGTATAAGGAGCTGTCCATATTAATAATACACTAGACCCATTAATAAATGTATAATCCAAATCATTGACACTGTCCAATAGACCTAAGAGAAAACAATGACACATATACACATACACACTAACCTTGTATCATTAATATTGATATATTACTAAATACTGCTTGAAGAGGCTCATCAGTAATAGCTGTACATGTCACTTCAGTATTATTATTATATTCATAAGCTATTGCTTCTAGCTCTACTCTTCTAGTACCACCAATATTAGTTGTTGTTACACTAAATCCTTTAGCTACAACAGCTTCATCAGTAGCTACTTCATTATTAACTCTGAAACCAAGTTCATCAGCCACAGCTTCACAGGAAAAGACAACAGTAGAGTTGAGTGTTGTATTAATAGACACTGGCTGTACTGTTATATCTGTAATAAGAATAAAATACAATAAACAGAGTATAGTAGTGAAAACATCTACTTACTAGCACAATGAATGTACTGCAGCAAAAAAGGGAACATTAGACTCAACATTCTTGAAGAAGCGAAAGAAGGGCGTGGCTAGATCATAGATAATGATAAAAATTAATTACGTGATATAATCACTAGCTACACAGCCAAGAATTCTCATCTCTGATACAGGCCACTACCCAAAATCAATGATTCAAGCCTGATGTCTATTTTGATACAGCCCTGACTGGCATCAATGTTGAATCATGTCTGTGGCTCTGGCTGAACCAGGGCCGTACTCCAGCATGGTTGTATCATGGCCCTATGGTTATCATGATTGTATCATACTAGACTCATTGCTTTGCAGGCTGCCCAAAATCCATGATACAGGAATTTATCAAGGCTGATCCTGATTGATATCAGTCATGATTCAAAGTAAAATTCTTGGCTGTGTAGGCTAGCTAGACTAGTCACTAGTGTGAGTTGTCCATAGGCGGAGGCAGTGGCGGATCTAGGGGGGGGGCCTGGGGGGCCATGGCCCCCCCCCAAATTTTTGTGGTGAAGTATAAAATTAGTTTTATCTATGTAAACTGTGAAACAGCTGCAGTGCTTGACTGTGTAAACAGTCTGTAAACCACAAAGGAGCTCATTTAAGAGGCCTAATCTTCTAAATTTTGACTTTCCAAATGAAATCCTGCAAGCCTGGTTGACCGCACCCACTAATTATCCCACCCATATCATTAAGGCCCCCCCAGAAATTCAATCCTAGAACCGCCACTGGGCGGAGGAACTATGGCAAGCCAATAGTATCAAATTTTGACTATCTCACACGAAAAACTTTTGGAATAACTTTTAAAATTGTATTGGAGATACCATACAACTCAAATGTCTATGTAGCTAACATCATGCTATTTTTAAAGCTTTTGTTTGTTCTCATGAAAGTCTTTAGAATAATAAAGAACTTAAGTACACAATGAAAATGAAACAAGCGTAACAGTGTAAAAAATATTCCTATAATTGATTTCACCACCTTGCAAGTACAACTTGGTCATTATTAAGACTTATAGAGGTTCTCTCTACCTTCAAATGCTTCTAGAGAAGTTTTTAAACAGTATCTTTATGTTCCCTTGCTGTTAGAAAGCTCTTAACTTTGTCCCATGTGTAAGCCGCCATTTTGTTTGCCGTGACCACACCCACTACGTAGGGAGCGTGAGTGGGTGGTTGCTAAGGCTTGTTATTCCTCCAATACAACATGTATAGAAGAAATGTAAGTGTGGACATACAAATAACTAGGTGAATGTAAACATTGAGGGGGCGAGCCATCAATTCACATTGTTTGATAAGTAGATTAAAATTATAATAAATCCAGCTCTTAGCCTGCATGCATTATGCATATTCAGACCCAGGCCTCATGGCTGGGGTCTGAACAGAACAAACACACCAGTTAACACAACCAAAATAACCCAGTAAAAGAGACAAGGATGAACTATCCTGTCACTTTGAAAAAAATGTGCCAAGCTAAACTTTTAATCAAGCTCCCATCTTTTTGAAATAAAACTACTGAAATAAAATCAATCCAGCTCTTAACGTGCATGCATATTCAGACCCCATCCTGTGGTCTGAACAGAGCAAACCCACTATTTAACACCACTGACCAAAATGACCTAGTAAAAGTGACAAGGATGAACTGTCCTAATACTTTGAAAAAATGTGACAACTTCAAATCAAGCTTCTCTCACAATTTTAATTCTTTTAATGAGAGGACTAATCTAGAGGAGTCTTAAATCAAACTGCTTTTAAGTTCTTCAGCCTTTAGAGATGCTTTAGACAGCCTCTCCTCTTATCTAACTGTTAGAAACTCAATCTGAGTTTGTCACGTTAAAATTTGCTATCTTGCTCTTTTTGACCACACCCTCTAGATTAATTTTGCCCACGTGGTCCAAATTTATCAATAATAGTATACTAATTTATAGTATACTAATTTAATTTTCGTATTCTTCCGTTCATAAACAAGACGTAACGCAAATAGACCTAGACAGATTAGTGGGGGTCTCGCTCATGCTCGCCCCAATTATAAATATACAAACATCGCACGTGGTTTGTATATTAACGACAACTAAAATGTTAGAAAGTTAGTCGTATATTAACGACAACTAATTAAAAATTAATATCTTAGACTAGTCATTATTTGACTAAAGCCTGGTTCACAATATGACGCTAGGCCAACGTACCGTCAATTTTTAATCAAAAGTGTGGGCGATTTGACCTTTTGACGCATGCTTTCCGCTGGAATCGATCCAGATTCGATTCCAGCGTCAACATAACGTCAGGACTAGCGTAATATTGTGAACCAGCCTTAATTCTTCAGCAACTACAAAAATTCCACTCAAACTTTTAATTTTACTCAATGCGTGGGCGGCTGACTTCCGGTATCCACCCACGCATTTACTTCTAACTCCTGACCCGAATTTACTCTCTCTGCTACAATTCTTCTGTCAGATGTAGTCTGGCAAGCTTGCAAGGGTCAGGCCGGCCACGCCTGACTATGTCAGATGGGGAATTGGTTTCCTCTATGCTAGCTGCTACACCTTCCTCTTGGGACTTTTGTAGTTTTGATGCCATTCTTTGACGTCTTTCCTGATTTTTCCGCTGATAAAATCGTAGCTACGAGGTTGTGTGCAATAGAAAATATTTAAGTGACGTTAAAGAAAGTTAGACCAGTTGTGTTTGTGGGGGAGTTTCAGAAATATTACTTACTTTGAGCATTAGTTGCCTATATGGTTTGAAAGCCCTTTTAATGTACTATGAGAATATCATATGCATGACACTGCTGTAACTATAGTAAAGAACTTTTTGACACTTCATTACAGAACACAATGGGAGGACGTAAGATAACTTTTACTCATAGAATTCCCTAACTTTTACCTCTTAAAATATTCTCCTTTTTTATTCTCCCCCACAACCTTTCTTCACTTCAAAAACAGCATTGTCCTGAGGAAAATAGGAAATAGAGCTCACGTGATGCCGTTTCCAATCCCGTCCCGCGTCGTCTACTAGTACTATACTACCCATGGGTGTTTATTTCATCATAGATAATAGAGTAAATGAAAGTTTCATTTACTCTATTATCTATGATTTCATTGAAATTAGTGCATGCAATGGCGTCATAAATCATTAAATGAAATTTTAGAAACTCCATAGCAACGCGCATAGCAACTACTAGCATGTCACATGAATGTCACACAACTAAAAGGGGAAAACCCAAGAATCTATATTATCTCTATATGCAGCTTCAGCAATCTTTAAGCTACAAGTAGCTTCAAGCGTGTCCCTACCATAAACTATCACTAAGAACTGGCCTCACAAAGAATAAAGAACTGGTTGTAATACAACCCGTCTTGAGGCCTGTCAGGAATTTTTCAGTCAAGTTCTATGTAGCCCAAACTAAAGAGGAAAAGCCGTTCTATCTAGTGATATGAAGTCTTTCCAGGTTAGAGTTTTTTACTAACAGTTATGATTATTTTTGTGCATGATTATACGCAAGTATGATTAATTATTTTTTGGAGTGCTACATGCATGTGTGCTTGCTC